AAGTCTTGATAGGATACAGCTGCGGATACGCACATTATTGCAGCATCATTTTTTGTGACGCTATTTTAAAATAATTAATAGTTTTACAGTACCGTGACGGTAGGTTGAGGGTTTGGGTGAGGATAGACGTAAAAAATACAATTTACTGCGTAGCTTAGTAAACAGCGCTCGGTGAAATTAGCAATTTTACATTACTGTGACGGTTGAGTTTAGTGTTGGGGTAAGGGAAGACGTTATAATAAAATACAATTAATGGGAAATTTTATAAATAATAATATAAATAATTCTCGCTAACTTCCGCGGCCGCAACCGTATCAAGCAATAGTCACAGCTACATTATCAGCAAATCTTTATTTTTATTATCATTAATATTTAACTTTGCTGAGGGTGGGTATTTATTAACAGATATGTCCGTTGATTTACTGTAACCGACCGTCCAAACTCGAGTTGCTTCTCCAATAGATCTTAGCGGTGACGTCATCCGGCTGCAGGCTTATGAAAGCGCGTGCAATCGTTGAGCGGACACAGGTGCACGAGCATGATGAAAACACGCTGCAACTTTACATCACACATCCCTCATACACACCGAGAGAGACTCTCACTTGCTATTTAATCCCGGTGAGGACTCTCATAGCCGTAATGATGTTTATTTTATCCCCATACCCCTAAAGCAAACCCTCACAGGAAATAATTTGCACTTTCATTATTCACTCTATTCTGTTTGGCTTGCCTGTAGGGACCTCGATTTAGGTTGGTTGTTGCTAGATGATAGATCAGATACTCATTGCGTAGTTAACGAGAATTATTTGTATTATTTATTCAATTTACCATTTGTTGTATTTTATTAACGTCTACCCTAAACCCATCCATCACAGTACTGTAAAAACAGTTATTATAAACAATATTCTTCATATAATTTATTAAATTACCCAATAAATTGTATTTTATTAACGTCTAGCTCCACCCCAACCCTAAACTCAACCATCACAGTAATGTAAAATTATTATTGTTATACAGTGTCATAAAAATTATGCTGTATTGATGTGCGTATACACCGCTGTATCCTATCTAGAATTTACCATATAGGTCCTCAAGTTGACAAGTACCCATAATGTCTGTGCGCATTCGAGTCATGTTAGAATACAGCTGCAGATACGCACACCAATATAGCATCATTTTTAAACACTGTATAACATTAATCAATCATTTTACAGTACTGTGACGGTGGGTAGACTGATAAAACGCAATTTATTGGGTAAATTATTAAATACCATAAATAACACTGTAAAAGGTTTTACATTGCTGTGATGGTTGGGGTAGACGTTAAAAAAATACAATTAATGGGAGACTTAAAAACTAATAAAAATAATTCTAGTTAACTTCCGGCCACAATCATATCTGATCTAGCAATAACCGGTTTTAGTCCCCCAAAAATAGATGAAAATAACTATATAGTCACACTTATTGTAAGATATTTTCTATTTGGAGGACGATTGAAGGGGATAGTTCACCTAAATAAATGAATTTTAAAAAGTAAATAAAAATATAATTCTGTCATTATTAATGTTAACAAACACTTTCTTCAAAATTGCTGCTGTTTTGCGGTTGACAGATCATAGGCATTCCTATTGCAATTTTGACTTTTTTTTCTTCAGAACAGCAACTATTTCTCGCAATTCCGACTCTAGTTGTGACTGTAGATTGTGACTTAACACAGTTGTGTGTTTATACGTTTTATAATGTTAAAAGTAAATTCTGACACTTATCTAGTATGAATGGCACAATAAAGCCCTAGTTTATTCTGAGATATGAACTCACAATCTTTTTATTTTATGCTAAGATGCGTGTCAAATAGCTGTTTTTACACATTTTCTGTAATTATTTTTAGTCTTTGTGCATTACAGGTCTTTGATCTCTTCTGGAAACTTCACATGTTGAAAATTCACTCTGCAGTTTTGTTTTTATTCCTTTTTTTCAGTTTTTGTTATTTAAATGAATCTTAATGCACGCAGTAATAGGAAAATAAATACTGTAACTGGCACCATTATCAAGAGAAATTACTGATCCACCCATCTATTTATCGATCCATGTATCATCCATCCATCCATGTATTATCCACCGATCCATCCATCCAATCATCCGTCCATCCATGCATCAACTTAACCATCCACCCATCCATCCAATCATACACCTATCCATCCATACATACATCTATCAATTATCCATCCACCTATCCATCAATCGATCCATCCATGTATCATCCACCTATTCACCCATCCAATCATCTGTCCATCCATCCATCCATGCATCAATTTAACCATCCACCTATCCATTCATCAAATGATCCATCCATCCAATCATAAATCCACCCATCCATCTATCTAATCATACATTTATCCATCCATCTATCCACCATCTTTCCATTCATCGAACAATCGATCCAACCAATCATACATATATCCATCCATCCATTTATTCACCCATCCATCCATCCATCCATCCATCCATCTATCTATCTAGATTTACACTACTTGGTCAAAAATAACTGTGATCACTTGTAATCATCCAAAGTTGGAGCAGAGCTCAAGGTCCCATAATGAAAAAAAGCACACATGAACCACAGAAACTTAATTTGTCATAAAAAAACCAGCTGTCTTCTCAGTGAAAAACTAAATCTTGACTTTGTGTGAAATATGATGCAATGTCCTTCGGTGGCCAATGTTTCCCCGAGCTTTAATAAGGTGCCGAACAGTACCACAACCTCTTTAATGAGCAATATCGCTTATAAAAGCACACATCTCATCTATTTCCAACACGTCAAACCAATCTGAAAATACCATAACAGGTGGACCACTAGGTTGCTGTTGGAAGTGGTGTTAGTGAGGCCAGCAGGGGGCGCTCAACCTGAGGTCTATGTGAGTCCTAATGCCCCAGTAAAAGTGAAGGGGACACTACACTGTCAGTGGGCACCGTCTTTCGGATGAGACGTTAAACCGAGGTCCTGACTCTCTGTGGTCATTAAAAATCCCATGGCACTTCTCGTGAAAGAGCAGGGGTGTAACCCCGGTGTTCTGGCCAAAGTCCCTCTATCAGCCCATACGTTCACGGCCTCCCAATCATCCCCTTCAACCGAATTGGCTCGATCACTGTCTTTCCACTCCACCAATATCTGGTGTGTGGTGAGCGCACTGGCGCCGTTGTCCTGTGGCTGCCGTCGCATCATCCAAGTGGATGCTGCACACTGGTGGTGCTGTGGAGAGACCCCCCCTCATGATTGTGAAGCGCTTTGGGTGTACGGCCATACAAAATAAATGCGCTATATAAATACACATTACATTACATTTAAAGCGGATAAATTATAAACGAGACGGGCTCATTTTTTTTCTTTCATTTTAATTTTCTATAAAAGAGATGAGTTTATTTCATGATCATAACAGATTGAACCATTGACCTCGATAGCCCACGCACATACCAAAACAGTAATCGAGGAAAATGTTAAACAAACCCCCAAAAAAACTGAACAAAAAAAAATAATATTAATAAAAACCAAAAAACAAAACAAAAGAAAAGAAAATAACAAAATACCTGAATAAAGCAAACTCTCTGCTGAGCTGCAGGTCAGCACATTCTCCGGAGAATCCGAAATCTATGGCACATAATGTCCAACTGTTACCATGGAAAAGAAAATACATTTAAAGGCTCGCAGGAATGAAGTGTTTCTCTTCTTTGAACTTTTACAGACCAAATTAACCAAAGTAAAAGAGAGCTATATAAGTGGACTTCATGAGGAAGAAACAACAACAACAACAACGATGATGAAAAAAAAATGAATCTGCAAAGCAACATCATGGTTTAAATGAAGTGTTTTTGCGATTGAAACCTCCGGGTAAAACCACCCTTCCCCAGCCACATAAACCAAGGACACACACACACATGCACTCACACACACAGTCACGCAGTGATGATGATGATGATAATCGAACATCCTCTTAGCAGTTTTGAGAAAAGGAAAAACTAGTTGTTCGGTGTATACTTAAGAAGTCCAGCTAAAACTAGATTTAAACCTGAATATTGTAAATGGGTAAAATATAAAACGTTTACTTTCCTTTTTTTGTCTTTTAAACACAAGCTCTCTCGGTCCCCCAAACCACCCCCCCAATCCGCTTATTGACCGCGCCCCGCCCCCGCCCCACCCCAAACGTAATATATGCCAACTAGAATCGCAATACAATACAGGCACTGGAGAAAACACTATAAGAGAAAACTCAGAGGACCCGCCAAGGTCTCGAATTGTGCCCCCCGCCCCCCTTGCTGAGTCAAATAACAGAATTAGAACACATCCACTATAATCGAACAAGAACAATGATAAATCAGAATGGTTTGATTTTTTTTTTTTTTTTTGTCGTTGACGAGTTTTTGTCGTTATATCTAGCACAGCGAACATCGTTTTCTCTCTCTCGGTTTGTCTGTGCAGTTGTAATAAATGATCTGTGAAAAGAAAAAGAGGAGTCATGCAGTAACCAGCTGAAAGCTCCGTTCGTGACGCTCTCCGATGCATCACACAGAGTTGCATGTTTTCCTTCTATACGTATAATACACTTAAAATAGTTCTGGCTTTCTTTAAATTATATTCAAATTAAACGATGCTCAGAAACCGCGCTTACAGGCTCTAGGATCCCCTCGCCAGGTGAAAACGATGAGCGATGAAAAGTACATCTTCGTCCTCGATTAACACTTGTCAGAATAATGCATATATTAGGGTTTATTTTCTACAAGGCTAGCTAAACTTTTAAATGACGAGTGGGGAGAACAAGAAAATATATTTATATATTTAGAAAGACATGTTAAGTGAAGCGTTTCGGGTCTCGGCTATCAGCGTAAAAGGATATGGGTGTTTGGCATAGACATCAGAGGGTAAGGTGTTGGTAAGAGAGTTAAAAACCTTAAAAAAACAAAACAAAAACAAACGAAAAAAGAAAAGAAAAACAAAAAAACAAACACAACCAACCAAAACAGTAATTAAGAAAATACCTTTTGTACAGTAGATCCTACATAATGAAAAATCTGCACATGATAACAGTGTGAAACACACACCATGTTTAGTCATTTTTGTCACAGCCCCTGGTGAGAGTATTGTTTGTGTTGTGGTGTAAGGCCAGCTGGATCTCCTCTCCTGAGGAAGATCATCTTAAGTGCCCCGAACCCATCCTGCCATTTGCCTCACGAAAGAAAAAATGGGGGATACATAGCGAAAACGAAACGATGGGAGGGAAAGCAAATCAAACAGGAAACAGAGAGGTTTTCTAATCCCCCACAGACATCTGGCAGTCGATGGATGCCGTACTACAGAGAACCAGTACATATCATTGTTGTCGTTCGGGTATTCCTCAACCGATCGCATTGTCCATTGCTCCCATATTCTGAAGTAAGAGTCACACAAGAGTCCTCTCTTTTTCCCGGGAGGGTCACAATGGCGAATCCAGGAGGAAAAGCCGGAGAGGCGCAGCCGCCCATGTGTGAGGGTCCCTCATTCAGCTAAGGCAAAAGGAGAGCCGGAGCCTGGTTTCTCTCTCTCGGGGCCTCAGCGAATCCATCGCCTCTTCAGTGTTTCGGGTGGTCGGATGGGGTCTTTTTTCCCTTACTGCTTTTTTGAGTTCGTTCTGTCCGTGTAGAGCCGTTTCGCAGTTTGTCTCGTCCTCTCGCACTTCAGAACAAGTTCTCCTCAAAGATCGCCATCAAATCGCTTTGGAAATTCATGTCGATAGTAGCTGCCATCTGCAGAGGCGGAGAAAACACCGATCAATATTGGACACACACAGAGACAGACACACAGACACATATGATAAGTTTATACTGATACATCTTGGGGAATTTGGGGAAATTTGAACATTTAGCTTCATTTGTCATTGGAAAAATGGTTTTAAATTGTGATTTTTCGTAATATTACTGTATATACTGTATTTTTGATTGGATAAGCTCAGCTTTTTAGGAGACTATTTTAAAAAACACTGATGACAAACTTGTGAAAGGTAATATGGATGCACCCCCAAAAAAAAAAAAAAAAGAGCCAAAAAATGCTTTCTAATAATAATGAATAATTCTTTTATTAAATAATAAAAAGTAATTTTGTACGATTTAAAATTGTAATTCAATAACTTAACTCTTAAAGACCGAAACAGCCGCCCGCAGCTAAAAATAAGTATTGTAATTAAAGAGAGTCTCAGCTTTCCATCACTGTAAAATATTATATTCATGGACCTTCGGAGGCTCCGGAATCAGTGTGGTTACGTCATCACATTTTGACGGGGCTGATTTGACAAAGGAACGCTAGTGGCTTATGTCTCCAGACAAACCAGACATGATGCATTGACGCATTGTCCCTCCTCCATGCCCAGATTGGTTCAAACTCGCTCTCTCTCAACCAATAAGCATAGGTTTCGCTTTGTGGACCAGCAATCAGCTTTTTGAACAACCCGAAATGAGAAATAGGCTGTACATTTACGCACGGCTAAATAAAACAAACAAAAAAAAGTTTTGCATGAAATAATTCTCATACTAAGTAGTTTTGCATGCAAAACAGCACAAAACATGACAAAACAGTGACACAGCAAAGACGAAGTGCTGGTCTTGCTGTTTTCTAAGGACGCAAATGACGGTGCGGCTGTTTGTCTGCAACGCAAAAGTTGATAAGCAGCAGGGTCAACACCATATCCATGCTGGCACATAAAACCTAAGGATGGTCCATATTAATTCTAGTTTAGTTATGTAACTATTTATAGTATAGCAAATATTTATATCAATTTTTTTACTGAGGATTTGCACCATGTTTATTTGGACTTTGACACATTATTTATTATTTTCTTATTTTTTATTTGTTCATTGTAAGTGGTGTTGTTTATGGTAACTGGAAATATATTATTTGGAAAAAGTCAAACTTGCTTAAGTGTTCTGTTATTTTGTAACACTCTTTCTGTTTAGTTCATTCCCACAACTTTTGGGGAAATACATTGTCAGTAAATAAATGCACTAGTATTTCCCACTGAAAAACGCCTTGGAATAACATTGAAATAAATTGCTATAACTTGCTCAGGGAAAGGTGGATGTAGACAAAATTTATTTTGGAAGTATAAAACATCATAGTGTGTATTTGTAAAGAAAAAAAAACTTCATGGGGTTTTGTTTGTAATAACTGGAAAATGCTACTTTTTTAAAAACTGATTATCTTAAAATTCTGGAATAAAAAAAGTTTAAGACTGGACCTTTAAATGATACAGATTGAAGCTTTAGGTTCTCCTGTTTAAAATAATACATGACACTTGAGGCTGACTGCTAAAGTAAAAATAAAACTGCTTTAAAAAAAATAATAATAATATAGGCCCATTAGGTGCTCACAAAATACCTCTAGGTCTTAAAGGGTTAATAGATTAAAAAAACAAAATATACAGGAAATATAAGTCCAAGGCACTCCAAAAACGTGGAAAAATATTAAAAAGACTTTATTGACATGGCTATTTCTTAAAACTGCACCTACACGTTTCACAAAACACTTGCCTTCATTAGGGTTACAGAGATCACGTGCATCTGGAGTTTCTTTTAAACACTATGGTCTCATGACTCATTAGAATAGCATTAGAATACAAACGCACCTGAACTCGTTACCCTGATGAAGTGTTTGCCAAACCGTTTAGATTCAGTTTTAAGGAATAGATATGTCAATAAAGGCTTTTTAATATTTTATTCCACATTTTTCCAGTGACTTGAACTTGAACCCAAAGAACACCAGCACATTAATTAAGCTACCCCTGAGAGTTTTTTTGTTTGATTTTGGATTTTAATTAAATAAACACATTTTATAAACTGTAAAATTTAAATAGAATTTTAGAATTAGAATTTTACCAGTGTTGCCATGACAGCACAGTAGCCCTGTTAAAAGCAGCAGGAATAAGTATACTATGCAGAAATGCACTGTTGGCTTGTTACTCCAGAGGATATTACTTTTTCTGTGAGCAGATGCACTTTAAGCACAGATATTAAACTTATACTATAATTTTCAGCACTATAAACCAATAATATTCAGTATTAAATTGGGTATTGGTGTGCAATAAAAAAATTCATTTCCCATCATGCATTGTGAAATGTTGCTCATCTATATTTATTTAAAGAAGTGAATCAAAACCTTTTAAAGTTGTCTTAAATTTGACTTGGTGAAACCTGCGGACAAAAGTTAAGCCCTTTTACAAGAACATTATAAATCAAATTTCAGACTTATGCAGAGCTAAAGCATTACTAAGCATTTTTTTCTTATGGGAGTGGAAAAGACTTTTAGTTGTCCTCTTCAAAAAAAAAAAAAATCTAAATTAGTTTATTTCTAAGCCATTTATTTTATTGTGTCAATACAAGCAAATTCTAGTTGTATACACTGACTTTATTAAAATGTTGTTAATAAATTTAAAGGTGCAGTATGTTAGTTTGACACCTACTGGTTCAACTAGGTATTCAAAACAGGTGGCTCTAGGTCAGGGGTGCTCAACCCTGTTCCTGGAAATCTACCTTCCTACAGAGTTTAGCTCCAACCCCGATCAAACACACCTGAACCAATTAATTAGGACCTGAACAGCACTTGATAATTACAAACAGGTGTGTTTGATAAGAGTTGCAACTGAAATCTGCAGGAGGTAGATCTCCAGGAACAGGGTTGAGCACCCCTGCTCTAGGTGTTAAAAAACTCAGGCAAGCGCAGGTTGCCAGATTGCCAACACCAACAGCAGTGTGCCTGACTACTGAGCCTAAAGGCGGGTTAAAGCGTGTTCTAAAAAAAAAGTAACGACATGCGATAGAAGGAATTTTTTTCTAATATTTTTCATATTAAAAGGAGTTTTTGTTTCAACAAAAACCTGAAACGTATATTTTAGAAACAGCTTCAATTTCTTACAGCTGAACAACAGAAAACTAACTATAATCACCTCAGGTACACCTCATGTGCTTTATTCAGTGTTAAATGCTAACTATGTGAGTTTGAATGCCATTTTACAAGACATTGATTGCCAAATACTAAAAGCAGCAGCAGATAGTTCACCTCAGATCTTGAAAATAAAACAAACCGTTTGAAATTAAACTTTAAAACTGTGACTCAGTGCAAGCCAACACGTATCAGTGATTCAGCATCTACATTTAATAATGTTAAAGAGGTTTAATATGTATCAATAAGATTATGAACCTTACTATTTTGTGAGTAAGTGCACCACACTTTGCTTCTAAATGGCTGTATTTAAATTTCTGTCGTGTTTCATCTGGTGCAAACAGCCAAATTGCTTATCACTGCAAATCTCAGCACGTATTGTGTTGTTAGGACACAGGGTTACAATGTAACCTGCTCACCTAATGTTCACGCTGGTAATATTAATATTATTTGCTAATTATTAACCACCTCATGTGAAACTCTGAATCTGCGTCTCATTTCAGAGTCTGCTACTGTTCACCGGAGGTCGCATTTCAGTCACAGACATAAACTTTAAGAGGCTTCCTGACTGAATGAATAAAAAGCACTGTTTCTAAAAAAGGCAACCCGTGGTGCTGAAAAAAAAAGGGCTAAACTGGCATTGGGCGGGTTAAACGATCAAAACAAAGCAGATGCTCAGCACATTTTCAAAGCAGTATTTCTGACTTTAGCATTGTTTTTCAGATAAACAACTATGTTCACTTGGCATAATTCTTAGATATCTGCAAACATATTACGGTATTTTATGCTTTAGAAGAATCAAAAACCTACATACAGCCCCTTTAACATTTGTTGTAAGTTTTATTGTGATGTATTGTTCGTAATTGGATGACTGCTGGGTAAGTGATTGGGTAAATTTGCAGAGACAAAGAAAAAATAAAGAGCTCTTTAAAATTATTTAAGACCTGTAACACAATATTTCAGTCAATTTAAGACATTTTTTTTCCAAATTATGCTACAAGATGTTTCTGATCCCCTTCCAAATGTCAACTATCATTTATCATAAACCAGAATTGAGTGTTTGCAGCAGTAGCTAACGCACCGCCTCTCTCCTTCTCCGCTCCTGCTCTCGGCGACGTGCCATCTCCCTCTGCTGGTCAAGTGCACTCTGGGACGAGGCGGGCGACTGTGGTGGGGCTTGTGTCGGCTGCGAGGCCGAGGGTGACTGTGCCGGGTTTAGGGTTTGGGCTTGGGCTTGAGTTTGGTGCTGCTGTGGTGGCGGCTGGACCTGCTGGGGCTCCTGCCGCCTGCGGGGCTCCTCCAGAGGCCGTCGAGGCGGCTCAATCGAGTCCTCCTCATCTCGACCCCTTCAAAGAAACCAAAATCATTTTATAAAGAAGTGTTCTTTATGTGAAGCACTTTCAATCAGCATTGTGTATGAAATGTGCTATATAAATATACTTTTCTAGCTTCGAAAAGAAAGGTTTGAGCAAGCACCAATATGTTTCTTTCTTTAAAACAGCACTTGCCCGAATGGCTCTCTTACCGAAGTTTCTCCTGTTCTTTACGCAGCCGGTCTTTCTCAGCTTGCTCGACTTGGGCCTTGAGGGCTTTCTCTCGCTCTTCCTTCTCTCGGGCAGCACGCCGAAACTGCTCGAAGCTGTCACTGGAGGACTTCAGACCGGACGAGGGAGTGGTGGAGGATTTCTGTGCCAGGCTCGCCCAGGAACCCATGTTCTTAAATTTCACATCCTGGGGACAAAGAAATTAAAAAATAAGCACAATCATCCAAGAGTTGCTGTATTCATAAAAAAGCAGGGCTGGGTGATAAATGATCATGTTCAATGCAATCTTTATGTTTTACAAAAAGATAATTCCCCAAAAAAATTTATTCTATCAATGGCTGCTTTTCCCCAACATTCTTCAAAGTATCTTCCTTTGTGTTCAACAAAAGAAAGAGACTTGAAACAAGTGGAAAACTATCCCTTTATAAAGCATAAACATTACATTGAACATTTTGACTGCATTTACAGCATGGTTCAAGTGACTCAATTACGATTTTTTTCTCTCATGTGGCATAGATCGCACATGGCCCATGTATGTGTAAGCAGGAAAAAAAAAAAATCACATGGATTCTGATTTACTCAGATCAGATTCAGGCCTTATTCATTTGTGGAAATTTATCCGATATGAATCGGATCTGTACCCTCGTCTCGTATAGATCGAATTTTCACCTGTCAATGCAAGTTGCGCATCATTGAAAACCGTAGTGAATGACGCTTTCATTTCAGAACAGACATCAGCGAGTAGCAAACCTTAAATCTTATACACAAGGAATAAAAAGGCTTTTATATTGTCATATAGCACACTTAATTAAGCATGTTAGCGAGACAAAAATAGAGAGAGCGTAACATCTGCCATGTAAACAATATAAATTAACAGAAAACTGTGGCATATGTCACGTGCATAAATCACACCACGGACATTTCGTTAAGATGCCTACAGGTTTAAAAGTGCCTAGATTAAAAGAAGATGGCAAAATGAGAACTTGTCTGTCAAACTATAGTAAACAACAGCTTGTAAAAAAGAATTTTTAAAATATTACACACTCAACAGATTAAATACAGGAATGGAGAAAAGGACACTCTTTAATTATCAGCTGGTAGTCGGCACCCGCTCTCTTTTTTTTTCTGCTCATTGCGTCTTTGCCGTGTGCTGTGTAAATGCAGACAATCAGATACAAGTCACTTTTTAAATGATATAAGCAGGTCAGCAAAAAAAAGAAGAGAAAAAAAAATCTAAATTAACCATCAAGATCTTCAGTGCAAATGCAGCCTAAGAAAAATTGAAAAGATCCAGTCAGAAGGCCATTCAGTAGATTTACTGTAGTACCAGTAACTGCAGCACAGTACATTTAAAGGATTTGCAGATATTTAAACATTTACATTTATCATGTTTTATTACTTTCTGAATGTAGACGTCTATAAGATAAGCAATGGTATATAATTACAGTAACTTATGTTATGTTATAGCACAGGGGTTTTTCAAACTCGGTCCTGGGCTTTTCTCCCCATAGACTTCCATTCATACACATGCGAATGCGTCAGACCGGAAACGCAAGCTCGTGCCTCAGTTTTGCAGTTCGCTGCGTTGGAAATTTCAAGCTTTGTGAACTCTGACCTGCGAATTCGCATCACTTGACTGCATGAGATCAATTGAGGATCAAAACACGACCTCTCTGGACAGTTATTAAAAGTATGGACCAATCGCTCACTTATTTAAATGCCTAATCATCTTGTTTAATCCCACCCCTTTTCGTAGCATTGTACGACAGAATTTTGCATGCTCAAGCTCTAGTGTGAACTCAACTTCAGAGCTTGATTAGCTAGCCCAGGTGTCTCTGATTGTGATTGGAACTAAAATCTGCAGGACATCCAGGACTGAAATTGAGAACCCCTACCATTGCATTTATATTTATTTGTTGTAAATCAATTCACAGTTGTTTTTCATACAGTTATCAGAAAAACTACATTTTGATATCATAAGCCAGGGGTCACCAACCTCGATCCTGGAGGACCGGTGTCCCTGCAAGGTTTAGCTCCAACTTGCCTTAACACACCAGCCTGAATGATTCACGTATACCTAGTGAGACCTTGATTAACTTGTCCAGATGTATTTGATTAGGGTTGGAGCTAAAATCTGCAGGACACCGTCCCTCCAGGAACAATTTTAGTGACCCCTGTCATAAACTGACACACGAGTGGTTTATGAAATAATTTTATTGGTTTATGATATTCAGGTTTACAATGTTTAATCTTAATGAGAATAATAAAAAAAAAAAGTTATTCTTATCAATTTTAAGTGATCTAAAAAAATCACCCAGCCATACATAAAAAGTGAAGCATACTAAACCGTCCCTTTCACCCACCTGTACCTTTTTAGGAGCCGAGGGCGTCTTGGGCTCCTGTTTAAACTTCTCTTTGTCCTGCATGGAAGGAGGCGGGCCGCTCTGTTCAGACGAGCGGATCACAGGACGGGACATTTCAAGTGGTTTCATATCTGCTCCTGAAATACATTCATAAGCATTTAGCTCTGATTTCAAATACACTTCATTGACTACGTACACATGGACATCACCTTTAAGCTACAGAACTGCAAATTAACTGTTTCATAGGGGTGTGATGTTATTTCGTGTCACGAGATCTGGCAAGATCAAATCGCGAGGAGATTTCTCATTGAGGTGAAAATTTTTCTCATGAGTTGTGATGTTAGCATGGTGGAGTGTGAGAGTAAAACTAGCATCGAATATTGGAGGCAAGATTAGATTTGAACCGCAAATCGAGTGCTTTGCACACACCTGTTGTGCGCCACTCGCATAGGTCACTCGGTTGTTTGGGAGGGTGTGACAACTGCTGCCGTGACAAACACATTAACCATGAAATAACGCTTTAGATATGCTGAAAATCATAATCATTGTTAACCAATCGAATTTAGACACATGGAGTATTTCTATTTAAGTCGCATTATTAAAGTGCAGTATAAACAAGTCTCCTGGAGACTAACAAACTCCACCATCATCACCAAACACATGTTATGTGGTCTGGGAAAAGCGAGAGTAGAGTCAGTAGAGTTTATAGCTAAATATTTAGCAATGTTTGCATTTCTTTTACTACATAGAATTCATTAAAACAGAAGTAAAAAAACATTTATTACTAATGGATTTAAAAATAAAAAAGCAGCTAAATTTTTTTCAGTTGAGTAAAACTCTAGTTTTCATTCATCTTTGAAGATTTCTAACAAACGGTGTAAAAATCTTGTCTCGTGAACCCAATCTCTTGTTGTCTTGTCTTGTGGAGCAAGCATTGTCACACCCCTAATGGTTATATATAATAACCTGTTAAAAGCTACTAGTTACAATGTAATTAGCTGAAGTTAATAGTAAATAATAAAATTTAATTTTCAGAATTTGTGCACCTTTTTAGAGCTATAAAAATAAACTTAAATTGAACAGGCAGAGCAGGACCACCACTGAAGTCCTGCGTGAAACTCAAGGCTTTCCACTCACTCTGTTGGCTGTGGCCCGGCATTGTAGGTTTGCTGTCGGGATGTTTATGAGACTCTGGTCTCATGGCCGGACTGAAGGGCTCACCGCGCATCACAGGTGACGGGGGCAGCTTTTCTTCTTTAATGCCACCCAAAGCTGAAGGACCTCGCTGTGGTTCCTGTAGCAAAGCAACAGCTCTAGTTACACCACATCATGAATCCATGCATGGACATTGGGAAGAATCTGTGACAAAGCAAACTGAACTGACCTTTTTGTCCTGAGAGGGGGACTGGTGGACTAAAGAATACTGGGGGATCTGAGGGGAATGCATCATGAGCGGGGAGGGGTTATCTCGCAGGTGTGCTGTCGAAATAAAGACATGGTTAAAATGCAAGTACTCACAATTCCGCTTATTACATTAAAAAATCCTGCTTGAACTGAATGGTTTGCTGAAGTGTAGGGGAATCTTTAAATTTGCAGCTTAAGCAACAAGCTTACTATAGATCATAAGATGAAAAGGAGTTACATTTGTGGTAATAAAACAAGGTAAAGACAGTAAAGACACAAAACAAGATAAAGACAGAGAAGAGCTCTATTACTTTATTATATAAGTAATCAAACATAAAATGAAGATATCAGTTATAGTGATGACTTGGGAAATGTCGACAAATTTGGCATCAAACACAACTAATGTGAAACATCGCGATGGATTATTGTCATATAATCCATTGTCATCATAGGTGGCTGTGAATTAATTTTTGACTAAAATTACTAAGTACAAGCATGAAAGCGAAAAATTTAAGCCGTGTACTGACGCTGTGGCACGTTACCTGATAGATTCAACAGACCAGAGTTGTTACATAAAGACAAGATTAATAAAAAAAAACACGTTTAACAACTAACATGAGACACAATCCAGCGGTACATCCTAGATAAACTGTCCGATGTGAACTGCTCTCTGGAGTTTTGTGCTCAAAGCACCCGCTGACTGATATGCTCAGATGAACGCGCATGCTGCAGTGCATGCCTGTGTGTGTGGTCACAGGCTGTGCATTTTCAGCGGTATAGTATGGATGGAGGGTTGTTCAGAAATGCTAAATAAAATGCCAGTGTGGACGTGGATCGTTTTCGCTCTAAAATGCCATTTTAAAACTAAGACATATTAGTGTAAACGAGGCCTAAGTGTGTATTTTTCGCAAGTGGGTTGCTGGTGCGACGAGGGTAGGGCGGAGTATCACAATGACAGCTCAGCAATGTGATGTCTATTGGCCATCGCGATGGACAATGGCATCATCTATGGACCCAAACATAGTCAAACATAATAAAATAGGAAATAAAGTTTGACAAACTATTTTCGAAAGAAGCACGTGATATGATTGATCGCAACTAGCCTCTCATCCAGAATCATTGGCAAACCAATTAGATTAATCCAAAGCTATAATAAAGTAGCCCACTTCACGTTACGTGCCTTATCTTTGTCTTTGGGGAAAAAATGTCCCCTGCTCTGAACTCTTGAAATTAAATTTTAAATAAAATTTAAAAAGTGGAATCTACTGTTTTTTTTCTACAAATTTTATAGCTTAACTAAATGTATGTGTGTGTGTGTGTGTGTGTATGTATATATATATATATATATATATATATATATATATATATATATATATATATATATATATATATATATATATATATATGTATATATATGTGTATATTTTTAAAAATTATTTATTAATTATTATTAACACATTTATAGTTATGTGGTTGCACAGCGATAGACCACTTTCTTAATTGAAACAGAAACAGCAACGTGTGCGGAAACAGCAACGTGTGCGGCAAGGCATCAATGCTTTAGAAAAGCTATTGGTCAATAGCCGGCAAATTAAAACACAGAAGCAGCTTGGGTTTATCAGAAGTATCGGATTGGGTTTCTATATTGATAGACACTCAAAATCAAATGACTCAGACTTAGGTGTGAAAAACACCTGATCGGGACATCCCTAATTTCAAGGTCACGATAATTAGCCCAATTAAGGACCAAGACCAAAAATAAACATTGTAATAATTTGAATCCCTGTTTCAGAACAAAACAATCGATCTACAGGTGTGAAAGCACCCTAAACAACACTTTAATCTGAGTGCTAGTATTATAAAAAATATCTAGTAAAATATTATGAATTGTCATCATGGAAAAGATAAATTAATTTAGTTATTAGTAATGTGTTATTAAAACTACAGTGATCAGCATAATCGAGTACCCCCCATTTATCCGTTTCTCAGTGAACATAATTATGAAATAATTAATATTTATATTAATTATATTTAGAAATTTCATGATTTACAATTAAATTCAAGCAAAATATTGGCAAAAAAAATAAATAAAAAAAATTTAAACATACAAAATTTCAACTTAATTTTTCAGTTGTTTTTTTTTTTTTTGCTTCTTTTGATTTTTTTTCTCTTTTTTAAATTTGTATTTAATATTTTTCTATAACATATAAATTTGGCTGTACTATTTTTTGGACCGTTATCATAAGTTATTTTGTTAGATAAGCTCCAGATTTGGCTTCAGTAGTAACTAATGTAATGTATATGCACAAATATAATATTGTTTAGCTTCCTATTAAAAATATGAATTTAAAAGAGCGAGCACTGTATTATCAGGGTTTCAACATGACCCGTTAAGTTCAATTTTAGCCTTTTTGAGACCTTTTTAAGACCATTTTAAGACCAAGATTTTTTAAACCTTAAAAAAAATATTAAAAACAAATGTTATTGTAAGGAAGATAATTAAATTATAGTAACTCTGATTACATTTAGAAATGTACTGAAAAAAATCTTCTTTCCGTTTAACAGAAATGGGAGAAAAATATATACAGGAGGGCAAATAATTCTGATTTCAATTGTATGTGTGTGTGTGTTATGTTGTTACCGGAGTTGTAGGAGTCAGCTTTGTGTTGGCGTGGCGAGTGATGCTGCGTGGCCTGCTGCTGCTGGATGATCTGCTGTGCTTTTGTGGAGGGCATGGACACTTTGTGTTGACCGGGCTGCGTCTGTGCGGTCTGCAGCGGGCCTTGAGGGAAGCCGAGCTGCTGCATGTGTCTGGCCTGGTGCTGTGAGAGCTGTGGCGAGGGCTGGTGTGGCGCTGGCTGCTGCGGCTGCACTTGAGTCTGAACGGGAAGCTGCGGAGGGGGCAAGTGAGATTGAACCTGCACCGACTGCAGCAGAGACGGCTGTCCTGGCGGCTGAGGCCTGCTCTGCAGCGACTGCATCAGTGATGTCGGCGTTGCCTGTAGTCGGTTGGGCTGTAGGTGCTGCAAGTACATGGGCAGGGACATGGAGGGCACAGGCTCCTCGTCATCCTCCAGCAGCATCTGAGGGGGCTGAGAGGAGAGCAGGCCTTGGGGTGTGAGCGTAGGAGGGGATAGCGGCCTTGGGCGCATCTGCTGTGGGGCGTGTAGCGGGTGATGAGGGAGGTGCTGCTGCTGGGGTGGAGCAGGCTGCTGCTGCTGCGGCTGAAGCTGCTGTGGGGGCACCAGGGTCTGCTGGGGTGGTGGCTGCTGTTGGGACGTGCTTTGCTGCAGAGGTTTAGGAGGTAGTGGGGCTGCCCTGTTACTGGGCCGTGAAGGCTGTTGGGGCAAAGCGTTGTGCAGGGCTGTTGAGCAAGAGAAGAGAGAAAGGAGAGAAAAAAAACAAAGTTAAATGGTCATGGTAGACTGTATTGGAAAAAAAGAAAAAGTAACTCCTACATGTAAACTGTGGCTTGGAGAAATCAGCTGTAACATTTGGAGCCAACTAGATACTATTAGAAAGGAAAACTCAAACAATTTAACAAAATTTGGCTTTTTTTTTTTATCTGTTTGCTTGAAATAAAAACCGTGTGGAATAATGCATCATGTCTGTAGTCTGTAATGTTTTAATATGCTTTGAACTCAGTTGTTCAAACAGGCCTTTATAAACAATTTGGCTTGTTATGTGGGTGAATTTTTATTTCTTATTATGATTTACATATTGTTTTTCCTTATGTTTTTTTGTCTTTTTCCTTTGCCTATGTTATATGTGGACACAATATGTAAAACAGAGAACCCTTTTGTTTCTGAAATTTTCTCTTTAATAAAACTTATTTGACAAAAAATGGTCATAGAAGCCCACAGTCTTTTAGTTAAACAGGGATGTCAAAACTTGGTCCTGGAGGGCCGGTGTCTTGAAAAGTTTAGCTCCAACCCTTATTAAACACACCTGAACCAGCTAATCAAGCTCCTGCTAGATATAGGCTGTTTCTCAACATGTGTTCGTGTAACATCATCCTCAACCTCCAACGTCAGTTCAGAAGAACCTAAGGTTCAAAAATAAGGTTTATGATGATTTTTTTTGGTTCAAAAAACCTAAGACCTGAGAACGGAGGACGGCTGAAAAAGTTCCCGGATGTGTGTGTTCTTGATATCGAGGATGCAGTGATGCAGACTTGAACACTAAACTTGCTCTAGAAGTCCCAGAAGTCATTGTGATGGGTTAAGGGAGGTGTGAAGCACAACATTATATATATATATATATATATATATATATATATATATATATATATATATATATATATATATATATATATATATATATATATGTGTGTGTTTTTTAATAAAGTTCAGAGATAAAACTTCTCAGAAGTTTCCCTAAATGAAACGACGAAAGTAAACGCATTAAGAGTAGAACGCAGCATCCCATTTCTCGCAGGACGTGTTCTGTGTTCTCACAGTATCCCGAGTTCGTTCTTCCGAGGTGACCAGACAAGAACGGTCTTCACAAGAACACAAGTCCATTCTCTTTGCTCTTGAAATTGTAAAAAAGCCATACATAAATTTCAAGGCAGGTGTGTTGAAGCAAGTTGGAGCTAAACTCAGCAGGACATCGGCCCTTCAGGACTGAGTTTGGACACCCTGGAGTTAAAGGTACACAAAATGATGCATAAAATAAAATGCATGATATTTCCAATCAGAAGTAGCAGTGTGTGTGGCTGACAAATATTTTTTTTTCTCTCATAACGACAGTAATTGATTTTTGCGGAGTGTGTTTTTTCTGGCTGGTTCAGGAGGTAGCAGCAAGTAAATGATTCATTAAATCAATCAAAGCAGCTGATTTAATCAGACGTTACTCTTTTGGAATTAATCAAGGAATTAAAAAAAAAAAAATCACTGCTTCAAACTATTTATTCAATGACAGACTGCATCTAACACTGAACAAATACTCTGCTTCAAAGATGATCTGCCTGTGCAGAAATCTGCAAGTTTGCTGTGTTATAAATGAAATATAGTATATGTGTGTGAATTTGTAGTGGATCGAATACTATTTGCGTATCAACGTTGTTGTTAGCTGCTGCTGTATGCTCAAGTAAAGTTTTTATTTAACCCATGCCAATTTCGCGTATAAATAAATAAACAAACACTATTCATAATGACAAAAGTAGCCAAAATCTGACAATACATGTGGCTGTGGTTTTGTTTTGGCCCTGAACGCGTGCACTTTAACTTTTTTACTTCTTGTTTGTTTTGTAAATAACTAAAAAAAATTATACCAAATAAAATTTGTTTCAAACAAAAAACAATAGTTGTGAATGAAGATCACGCAAAACAAGTAACATTCAAACTTCATATAATAAAGGCATTAGTAATAAATGCAGCTTATGTCCTCTTCCTTCCTTTATTTGTGTTTATAATGCTTAAACAATATTGAACAATGCCTAAAATGTTCATATCACTACTACTTTTCACACTTGCCTTCTTAAAGGGATAGTTCACCCAAAAACAAACATGCCCTTATTTATTTCCCCCTCATGATGTTTAAACCTTTAAGTTTCTTTCTTCTGTTGAACAGATTGCTGGCACCTAACGACTTCCATAGTAATTTTTTTCCTCTTATAGAAGTCAATGGATGAAAACAACAGAAATAATGGCCAATTGTATTTAAAATATATAACACATTCCCACATTACTATACATTTTTGTTTCACTTAAATTTATTAAGACTTGGCATTAGTAATAAATACAGTGACCTTCGGTATAAACTGTAAATTAAAATTTAACTGTCTGCTTCACTCTTCTATTTGCTTGTGTTTATAACCCCTGAAAAATCTTGAACAATTCTTGAAATTTCACTTCATATTACTCCAACTTAAAACAGAAATACACAAACAAAAAAGAAGTGATTTTGAATAATGCATTGAACAAGTGAGTAAATGATGATAGAATTTTCATTTTTAGGTGAACTGTCCCTTTAAAATGAATCGCCTTAAGGCGATTGTAAGTTGCTTTGGATAAAAGTAGCTGCTAAATGAATGCTAAACGCTAAATGAAGAGTTAAAGTTTAATTTAACGTACTTGCATAATTCTGAATGTATTAAAATAGAACCTCAAAACCACAAGCAAGTCATATTGCTCTACATATGAAGCAGAAAATATGATGCATCAAACTAGGTCTGTATGATATTGGCAAAAAATGACAGCGATATTTTGTATTTCTGCTATCTATATATACATCCATCTATCTATCCATATATGTTATATATATATACACAGGGCTTTTTTGCTTGGTAGCGTTGGTGCTCCCAACTTTAAAAATGTAGGCGTACCAGACAAAATTTAGTCGCACCCACCAATTATGAGCACCATTACTACAAGTTTTATATAAACAGATTTATTGCTTTTGAAATCAACACTAATCTAAACTAACAAGCAAATATATATATGTAAGGAAAACAAAATTAAGTGAGGAAAACAAAAACCCTGCCCATCACATGAATCCGCGTCTGTTTTAAAGTGAAGCAGGGTTTGATGCGCGAATAAAGCGAGTAAACTCAAATGTTCACGCGACAATTTACGCGTGAATTGCGCAATTTATCTGCGCGTTCCGTGTCTGGTGTGAACACAGCATAACAGTATTGAGGTAAAGCAATAAATAAAATTGCAACTTAAAAAGCAACTTAAATCCATGTCAATCATATCTTAGTGATGAATGAAACTGTTAATGAAACATGAGGCATAAATGTGCAGCTCAGTTATTTACTGCAAATAATATGCTGAAAAGAAAAACCAAGAAAACCAGGTGTTAACCACATTTAAAATACTATAGTAATTTAAAGTAAAGGTAAATAATTAGTAATAAAAATTAGATTGTATATATAGTTAGACCTCTTCAGTAATAAATTACACTACATAGTATCATTAGTAACTACATATATGTATATATATATATATATATATATATATATATATATACACACACACACACACACACATATATATATATATATATATATATATATATATGTGTGTGTGTGTGTGTGTGTGTGTGTGTGTGTGTGTGTGTATACATGTATAAATAAATATTTATCTCCTCTCTTTTAGTCATCTTTCCATCAAGCAAATTTCTTGTGTAAGCCTAATTGGATGGCGACGTAAACACACCAAAAAGTTTGCTGTCGGCCACCGTAAAAAAGGGTAGAAGTCATCATTCTCACCATCATATGGATTTACTGTCATTGGCTAGACACCGGCCTTCACAGCTTCATGAATGTTGGTGCTGTCACTTATTGATTCGTGATCGGTAAATATAACTTGTGTGGATGCTACTGCCCTACTTGAGTAAAATAATAGCTTCACGACTGAAAAGCTTTTTAATTTAAAAAGTAGTGACGCTACCGCCACAGTACTGAGAAATGTAGTTAAGCTTGCCCAACATTGTTGAATACAAAATAGTCAACATCTGAAGTGGATCAAAACACCACAAAAATTAAAGATGTCCTGAAACTACTCAAAACCACCCATTGTTCTGCTCAATTTTTTTCCACTTCAAATGTTGACTTACTTGTATAAACACAATTAATCTTTGTTAAACTACAAATATGATCATCTCATATGCACAGACAATTTAAATTATAATTTTAATGCCAATTCATCATTGCAGACACTGCGATGTAACTACTGCAGATTCGCACATTGTGATAATTTGTATCTAAAACGATATATTGTGCAGCCCTACAATAAACCTGTTCTGGACAGTAGCTTGCAGTAATACACAGCAGTTGTCCACTCACCTGGGGATGGAAGGATGGGGTGCTGGTTGAGGAACGGATGCGTCTCAGGTGACACTGGGCCTCCTGGAGGGTGAGCGTTGAGGTGAGGTGGAGCAGGAGAGGACGAGTCGTTTGCGTGGTGGGGAAGGTGCATGAAGTGAGCCAGAGGGTCAAAGGGGTTTTCCAGGAGCTGCGAGGGCTCCAGAGCCGTGACGGGAGGTGGCATGTAAGCAGCTGGAGAGGGATGCTGCGGCTGCTGCTGCTTCAGCTGAATGCTGGGTTGCAGAGCAGGGGTCTGGGGTTGAAGGGGGACCTGCGGCAGAGGCATGCCTGGAGCCGTGGTCTGGTGATGAGCCTTCTTTCCTTCACCTCTCCCTCTCTTCTTTGGCTTAGAAGCCATCCCTGAGATAGGGAAGAGATGACTCTTTATGCATTGCAGTTTCTCGGATCATTTATCATCGTGAATGCAGTTAGATTTGACAGAGCTGCAGGGCTCACCTGTCTCAGAGTCTTCACTTTCTGAGGAGCTGGACTCACTGCTGCTGCCTGAATCGGAGGAAGTGCCTTTTGTCTTGACAGCACTTATCGCCTCCATGGACTTCTCCGGAACTGAAGGATGAGAACATTTGAAAAACTCTTCATCTACTCAAATTATTTGTCCTAAGTAATGCAATTTGGACAGCACTAAATGAAAAGGGGATGTGAAAATCAGCTTTTAGAGAGTTTTCAAGGTTCCCACTCTAAGTCAAATGTCAAATGATCCGACAAAATGTAGAATTTCCATGACCTATACAGAGAAAATAGTCAGCTGTTGTGTTGAGCAATCCCTCCCCAATTTTGTGATTGTTTGGTCACTTATTTAATGCAAAATCAAGCAAATGGCTCAAAAGGAGCTTGCAGTTTTAATAATTGGTGTGGATTTCGGCATGAAAACTGTTCAAATTTCTTCTGTGCCATCTGCATTGTTTATATAGAACAAATATCAATATTTTCCACATAGAAACGGTTCATCCCGAGAATTTTCATAGAAAAGGAAGAGCATTGTGCTTCTGCTCAAGTGTGTGACCCATTTTAGATCCATCAACATTACTGCAATGCACATTCAGCCAAAGACTGTTTCAACAAGGCTAACTTTTTTTGTTTTCATCGCTAAAATTTGAGAATAATTTGCGAGAAAAAAATTATAATGGTTTGTTTATTTTGATCATTTGACTGATTTGTGTATCAGATATGATAAAGTAAGCTTTATACGGCTAAAAGGTAAACCTTATCTCTTGTTTGTTTTATATACACTTAAAGTCAGAATTATTAGCCCACTTCCAATTTTCTTCTTTCTTTTTAAAACATTTTTCAAATGATGTTTAACAGAGCAGGGAAATTTTCAGATCAGGTCTGATAATATTTTTTCTTCTAGAGAATGTCTTTTGTTTTATTTCGGCTAGAATAAAAGCAGTTTTTATTTTTTTAAACACAATTTTAGGGACAAAATTATTAGCCCCTTTAAGCTATATTTATTCTAGATAATCTACAGAACAAACCACTGTTATACAATAACTTGCCTAATTACCCTAACCTGTCTAGTTAACCTAACCAACCTAGTTAAGCCTTTAAATGTCACTTTGAGCTGTGTTAAAGTGTCTTGAAAAATATCTAGTCAAATATTATTTACAGCCATCATGGTAAAGATAAAATAAATCAGTAATTAGAAAAATGAGTTATTAAAACTATTATGTTCAGAAATGTGTTGAAAAAAAATCTTTTCCGTTAAACAGAAATTGGGGAAAAAATAAACAAGCAATATAAAAATTCAAGGGGGCTAATAATTATATTTTCAACTGTATATCACAGAGACAAGTGGTTATTGGGGTCAAATAAGTAATAAAGTAAATTGTTTGTAAATTTGTATACATTTTCACAGCAAAACCAAAATCAGTCATTTTAGGCTGCAATAATTTGAAATATGTTCCACAACTCCAGAAGGAACTGGCCGAGTACGAAGCAGACAAAAATACAAAAACGGAGAGGATTTTACAAGGTATAGTTTACAGACTGTATTGATCTTTGGGATTTAAATACTGTGAAAGATTAAAAAATAAATGAGTAAATAAAAAACGAAAGAAAGAAAAATTATCCTACCCATAACAACAGTGACGTGAAACATGTGAAACAACATGATAAAAAAAAATAAAAAAACACGATACAGAAAAACACATTTTGATAAATGGGAAGTAAAAATTCCCTGATATTCCATGACTTGAACACAAAAACTTCTATATCTCCCTGACTTTGAACGTCGGCAAGACCTTTTAAATTTCCAGAAACTACAGAAATTCCACGACCCGTGGGAACCCTGTTTTAGAGACACACTATCTACTATTGCATGCACACATTGATAACACCGAATGTTTTGGAATGAATCCACTCTGACTCAACAGGCCCTTGAGTGTTGCTCTGATCACTCACCGGCTGGTTTCTTCTTCTTGCGAAGACAGGACGACACGTATCTCTCCAGCTCCCGCAGCGTTGAAGGTTTTAACGTCTCGAAGTCGATCTCAATCTCGTCCGGGTTGGAGTTCTTGAGTGAAGGCTCGCGGGACTGAATGATATGAACCACTCGGCCCAGCTTGTCTCCAGGCAGCTTGTTAATGTCCAGACTCAGCTGTCTCTTCTCTTCATAGGACATGGGTTTACACTTCTCCCCCGCGGCCATGCCTGCCATCGCAGCCCCTCCAGTAAGACCCAGATCCTCTTCAGTATCCAGACCTGGCACAGGCTGCAGAGTTGGTGGGGCGGCACCTGGAGGAGCCATGGAGCGGTTGCTCTTTCCTCCCTCCTTCTTGCTGCAGGGTGTAAAATAACAAAAACAACTAATTTTTTATAATATAACACAGTTAAAAGAAAGAGAGCATAACTTTTAGGTTGTCCAAAATTCAGTGAACAAAATCTTGGCTACTTTCTTGCCTATAATGTGCACAAATCAAACGTCTGAGCCCACCTAAGCTTCTTAGACTTCTTAGGCAGAGGATCCTTGTTCTTGGGCTTTCCTTGAGGCTTGAGGGCAGGAGGCGGCTCCAGGATCTCTTCCAGTGCCGGCATGACTCCTGCTTTCTTTTTGTGCTTGTCTTTCTTCTTCTCCTTCTTTTCCTTTTCCTTCTTCTTTGGTTTGCTGGCCTGAGGCTGGGACAAGGCAGCCAGCTGCTCATGAACCGCTTTCAACTGAGGAACAAGCAAGACGAAAACAAACAGGGAGATTAAAGTTGCTCAGTGGACAGTATTGACCTTATTTTTCAGATATGAGCGGGCGCAGTCTTCGGATCCTTTTTGGCTCGAGACTTCTGATTTTATTGACTTCCATTGATTTTTATACGTTAATACAGCTTGTTGTGCTGCATGATGTTGCAAATTGATCTTTGCTTATTATACTCTTTAACTTTTTATGTATAGTTAGAGAACACACTTGTTTGTATAGCAAGCAGTTTGACTATTTTCCGGTGTTTATTATTCCGAGTCATTTCACTCATAGGCAACAAAATCGCAAGTACTAAAAACTAAAATAAATAAATAAATAAATAAATGTACATAAGGTTAATAATTTAAATAAGGTACATAAAGTAAATAAACAAAAATAAAAGTAAATAAAAAAGTAAATACAATAAATAAATAAAAGAGTAAATAAAGTAGATAAAGTAAAGTAAATAAATTTAAAAAGTAAATAAAATAATAAAAAAATTAAAAGTACATAAAGTAAATAAACAAAAAAAGTAAATAAAAATATAGTTAATAAGTAAATAAAAAGTAAATAAATAAATAAATAAATAAGTAAATAAACTAATAAAATTAAATAAAGTACATTTAAAAATATAGTAAATAAAAAAATATATAAAAATTAAGTAAATAAAGTAAAAAACTAAGTAAAATAAATAAAGTAAATAAATAAATAAATAAAAGTAAATAAACAAAGTAAATAAACAAAAAATAAAACGAATAAAATAAATTAAAAATATAGTTAAGTAAATAAAAAGTAAATAAAGTAGATCTAGTAAAGTAAATAAATAAAAATGTAAATAAAGTAAATAAAGTAAAAAAAATAAACAGGTAAATACAATTTTTTGTTAATTAAATAAAAAAGTTATAAAGTAACTGAATAAAAAATAAAGTAAATAAAGTTAAAAAAATAAAGTAAATAAAGTAAAATAAATAAGTGGATAAAGTAAATAAACAAAAAATAAAATAAAGTAAATAAAAAATATAGGTAATAAGTAAAAAAAAGTAAATAAAGTAAAATAAATAAAGTAAATAAAGTTGATAAAGTAAATAAGAAAGTAAAATGTCATTAAAGTACTTAAAGTAAATAAACAAAAAAATAAAAAAGTAAATAAAGCAACTAAATAAAAAAATAAAAAGGTAAATAAATATATAAAAGTAAATCAAGTAAATTATAAATAAATAAATAAACAAAAGTAAATTAAAAATAAAGTTAATAAGTAAATAAAAAGTTAATAAACAAATAAAATGAAATAAAAAATATAGTAAATAAATAATTAAGTAAATAAAAAATATGTAAAAAAATTAAGTAAATAAATTAAATAAATAATAAAATAATAAAACAAAATGTAATAAAATTTTAAATTTATATATCTAATAAAAGTACATAAATTAAGTAAATTAAGTAAAATAAACTAAATCAATCAACCAATCAATCACAAAATCGAGTGCACTTCCATCCTGAAGAATACGTTCAATAGAACATCGTGTTTTAAAGCATTTGTTTCTACTTTCAGTATCAACATTGACCAATCAGTTTTCTGAAGACCTCTTTTTCTTAGAAACAACTAGCAGTAATGATGGATCGTGGATCTACTCACCTGCTCCTGAAGCTCTGCTAGCCTCTGGGCTCTTTCCTCTTCAGAATCGTCCGTGGAGGACTCGGATTCCGATGACGAATCGCTGGAGGTGTCCGAGGATGAGGCAGTGGCCATGACCGGCTGTGTCTTTACAGGTGCCGGATGGAGCACTGGCGCAGGAGCAGGGGCCAGCATTTCTTCTGGTTCATCAGGCATTTTAGCAAAACGCATCTCAAACACATCCTACAAAAAAGAAAACCTTTTATTTCTCTAGTGTAAGACGCTTTTCGTCCTGCTTTCAGAATGCAGCAATGCATATTTGGGGTTATATTCTAATAACATAAAGGAAAATTAAGAAAGTGCTTTTTTTTTGCATCATAAAATGTCCATTCACACAAACAGTCAATGGAAAAAAACACGCATGTTGATTGCAGCATTAGATCGCCATAACAAACCAGATTAGATTAACAAATTCAAACTTTTACGTAAAAGCTTTAAATACTCCTACTGACCCACTTTAAGTAAGTTTTTTTTAATGTTACTTATTAAAAATGTCAAGTTTTATAACACAAAACATTTTATCCCAGAAACAGAGGTCTGCATTTCCAACATTTCTGAATAAAATGCCATATCGGTCAGTAACTCTGGTGTAATTTAAATCAACAGTAATTACTGGTGTAATTTGAAAGGGAGCGAGCGGTCTAACAATACAGCATTCCAGAGTCTTGACTTTATTTCGGAACAGCATATCTGTGATTTCCTCATTCGTGTTGAGCACTGGTACAGCACTGGTACATGACTGTTACAAAAGATAAACACATGACCAGTGCTTTCTGCACGTGCTTTTTTATTCACGCAGTTTGTATGCGCATCATCTGTATTACGGTCCTTAGAGTGGCGTTTAACATGGCAGAGCACACTGAGCTTGCATCAGAAAACGGTCAGTTTACTGTTAGGAAAACCACATCAGGCAAGTCTGATGTATGGGAGACTTTTTCATGCGTCATAGATGCAAATGGAAAAAAAATGACCCTTTGCGTAATGATAATACCTCAAAGTTTTACCCTTTGGCAGTCATAGACTTAAACCTCAGGTTTAAGGCGGCACTCATGTCTCATCACAAAGTGGCAAACAAAACTGACATTTAGCCTACAATCCTTGCACAGCATACAGTTTTATCTGTTATCTCTCCCTTTTGGTAGTACCCAATTTAAATGTGAGATTTTGTAAACCAGATCTAAATTCAGCGGGAACAAAAGGGTTTTTTCTATGCGAGCAGTGGGTGAACAAAGACTAAATATACAGCAGGAGCAATCGGGTGCGAAATAAAACCTTGCGGGAGCGGGACAATGAAAACAGTCCAGCGCAGACCTCTATCCTAATATTTATGTGTATTGTTTATTTTGTCTGTTTTTTCTGTTTTATTTTTGCAAATATTGACAATTTTCTTATTATTAATAAGTATAGATATAAATAAATAAATAAATAAATAAACAAATAAATAAATAAATAATATATATATATACACTATAATGCTTATTCCTAAATTTTTCACTTTACTATAAATTACTGTAGAATTTTTAATGAGTAACACCTGGTTTTATTGGATTGTTTGTTCTTGCTGTTTCATACTACAATTTGTTTTTGTTTAGTGCAACATATTATTATTTGAGAAAATAACTGAATTGAACAATTATTCCTCATATGTTTCATTGACAGTTTTATTGATCACTTAAGTCACTGTCAGGTCTTGATGTCTAATTGCGATTTGTTGCCTATATCTGATTTGTTTGCTGGTCCATCTAGACGTTGTTTTAATTGTGACCCATATCCTATTCATGTGTTTACACTTGCCATATAATTTACAACGTTGCGCATGCGTAAAGGCGGGTTCTAGCATCTGCGCCACACTAGCCGCGATGGAAGAATTTGTCATCACAAACTATGAGTTCATAAATACTATGAACTCGGAATGACTGAATTACATAACCAAGAAGGCATGTTACTTCTGCCATCGACCACTGACCACTTTCCTCCTCCGTGTTTCCTCTGTTGTTGTTGTTGTTGTTTACTGTTATTTACTACAAAAATCGGCATTGGGTCACATTTAACTGGCATATATGAGATATGATTGACTTGAATTTAAGTTGCTTCAATTTAAAAATGAAAACTGCAAAAATAGCTTAGATGTAGCTTAGCTACTTTTGCAAAGTTGTTTGTAGCTTAGTTTGCTAGATCAGCTCTCTACATTTTTCAAGTAGTTTGCCCAACACTGCAAGGTAGACGTACCTGTAGTTTGCGTGCCATAGCCACCACTTCATGGTCTGGAGGGTTGTACTTGTAGCAGTTGGAGAACATTAACCGTACATCTGCTGCAAACTCCTGAGCTTCTCTGTACTGTCTGGTTTCCAACTTATCCTGCACAAGCAAAGAGAAACCTCAACAAATAAGCATGAAGAGCAAACAAGGCTCATCCTTTAGTTGAGATCCAGCAGGAGTATTTTCACCTTAATCGTGCTGAGGTCCATGGGGTGTTTGATGATGTCATGGTAGTCGTGCAGCCCTAAAGTGTCCACGTCCACTGGCTTGTAGAAGGGCCAGGCGTACGCTGCGTGTTTCTTAGCAAACATGTCCTTTACGATGCCCGAGCAATAGCGTAACTGCTCTTGCTGTTTGGGGCTAGGGGTTCCAGGGGCGGCTGTCCAATGGTGCTGGGAGTCCGGTGCCTCCTTTTTGGGTAATTTGCTTGGTCGTGTATTATCCCGGCGTGGAAGAGTCTTGCCTGACTTTGACTCGGCGGGTGAGGACTCGTTCAGCTGGTCGTTTGCCGTAGGTGTCGTTGTGTCTGCTTTCCTTTTCTGACTTTTTCTCTGTGCAGAAGTGAAATAACACAGGTGAGTCAGACGCACTTCAAAAAACAAAAACAGACACTGAATGCCATGTCGAATGCTAAACTTACTTTGTTAGGTATTGAGATGGGAGTTTGTAGAATAGGTGGAGCAGCGCTCTGTTGAATGTGCACAGGTGGCAGGGCGGTTTGAGTGGGGGGAGGCACAGCCGTTATGATGGGGGCCGGTGGGTTGCAGTCAGTGGGGCCCAACGAAAAAGGCGGCCCTAATTGAGGCGCGTGGAGAGGGATTGTGGGAAGCGAAGGGGGCACTCGAGGGGGCAAGGCTTGAATTTGCACTATAGGCTGGGGAGGTAAAGTAGGTGGACCCTGTGGTGGTCCTCTAGTTTGTGGCCCTGGGGTAAGATTAGAAAGGCCACGTGTTTGAGGGCTTGCAGTCAAAGGCTCCAGAACAGGTCCGACCTTCATGTTCATGTCTAATGACACAGAAAGAGAGATTCAAAAAAAAAATAAAATGTTTCTGCTGTAGTCAGGGGTTCCCACTTTGAGCCAAACTGTTTAAATTTCTCTGATTTACACTGACTAAAAAACTGAACTTCCATGACCTATTCATCCTATTTTTCCAAGTAAGTATGGAATGGCATTTATAACTTAAATGTGTCAAGACATCTGGTCTTGTTCACTTCTATTCACTTTTAGCCAAACAAAACAACTTATGAAGCTTACTGTTGTAGAAAATCCTTGTTTTAATATATTTGATAGCCATTTGATAAGCAAGAAAGGAATAAAAACAGCAAATACATATGGCATTTACAAACTATCACAATGTAAACAACTCTCAAAACAGTATATACAGTATATAATGGCCCAATTGTTTTTAAATACACAGCCGAGACATTACACCATAATAATATATGCATATAATAACGAGCCATGGTCGACCCAAGCTTAAACAAACCTTGTTGTCGTCTTGATAAACAGCAACAAAGCCAAGAAGAGCAGAATCTGCTCTGTGCCCCATTGTTGCTTACAAGGCAGTCTAAAGCGCGAATGGTTTCACTTTCTTCAGAGAAGAAATCTCGTGTGCATCTATATTTAAAATAACAAACTTATTGACCTATTGATAATACGTGCGTGTGATTATTGATGTGCTTATGACAGCAGATCCTTTCAGAAATGGACAAATGTGAGACTGACGTGTGAAAAAAGAAGAAGTCGGAAAAAACAACAAAGGAGCGAATGATTCTTTCAGTAACCTAAACCATGAACAAACTGCCATCTTTAACTATTATCATCACCTTTTGGACTACTATGAACTGGGAATGACTGAAGGATTAAAGATACAGATGAGAGGTTTGCACTGACTGTGGACTATATTTTGTGTTGGTTTTTAACCCAAATAAGGAATAAATGTCTGCTGTGTGTAGTTTTTCTATAATTAGTAACATATCGGAGACTGTATGGATCCGTTTGTGTTGGCATATTTATTTTATATAATTGCAGAAGTTACAGTAAGTTATAATCAAATTATGTTCATAGAAAAGTTAGTAATGAACATTTATACACAAGTATTTATGTGTATAAAGCATCTGTCTTGTGAGAAATACTTCTCATATGACATGTGATAGACCCGTACAGCTTTATATTTATCGACTGAAAGAATTGGTACCCTTTTGGCAGTGGAAACGCAAGCTTGATAAAGGTGACCTGTACCGACCTGTACTGTCCCACTCAGTGTAAACCGGCCATAAAGGTAAAGTAAAATGAAAAATAATAATAATAATAATAAGTCCATTATTTTCCATGACTTAGATATGATATAGATATAAATATATAAATTTCCTGATTTTTATTGTCTGAAATTGACTTTTTAAAATTCCGAGATATTCCAGAAACTCCATGACCCGTGGGAACCCTATGCAGTTATCAAACTGTGACAACTACATGTAAGACACTAAAGGTACTGACAGCAGTTCACAGCAAGTGGCATCATTCCTTTTCAATGAGAGTTGAAGAACTGCAGCTCAGTATAGCTAGACATGGCAGTCGCCTAAAACACAGCAATGTGAGTGACAGTAAAACATAATACAAGATTTATACCTGGATCCCTCCTGCCCCGGCCACGACCTTTGCCGGCCGTGGTGGATATTTCAACCTCCTGCTGGGGCATCTCTGAAATCTTGGTAAGGAACACCTTCTCCAGTGCTTCGGCCATTAAGACTATGTCATCCCCAGGCTGCAGAGGGCGACACATACCATTAACCACACACCCAAAATTCCCTCCAATCCATCACCAATGATGGCAGCAGAAACATTGAGCTCTACCTTATTGTAAATGTAGCAGTTGGTAAACATGGTGTTGAAGTCTTGAATACATTCTTGGGCACTGGTGTAGAATGCGCTCTCTAGGCGTTTCTTGATTGTTCCCATGTCCATAGGGTTTTTGATTATCTTGTAATAGTCCTGGGAAACGAAGGTAGCAAAGTCAGCATGATAAACAATCCATTGCGTTTACCCGACCGTATTATTTTAAAATAAAGGCAGCTTTGGAAGAAGTAAATGTCTGATCTCAAAGTAACCAACAGAGTGACAATCACTGCTCATTACCCAAAATAGGGTCATATTTACCGGTCCTGAACTAAAAAGTAAATGTCATCTCAACAAATTCATCCATCAGGGCTCGAAACTAACCATTTTGCTTGATAGCACTGAGGCTCCTAACTTTAAAAATTTAGAAGCACCAGCCAAAATTTTGTCGCACGCCCCAATTATGAGCACAGATAATACAAGTTTCATATTAACAGATTAATTGTATTGGAAATCAGTGACTAATCAACACTAACAAACTAAAAAAAATCTGCATGCCACACTGGCCCTACGTGCACAGCTAGACATGAATGAAACTTTGATAATAACTGTGTTGTTCTTACAGATGGTGTCTGATATTGCACAAATGCGATTGACATAACTTATTATTTGCACATATCATCTTATAGCAATACAAGTATTTTTATGAGCTGCAATATTAGTTCAATGTCAGTGAATGCAAGCTCTTTTTGCGATGGTGTACACAGTGTTATGTTTTACATATATGTTTTACATGCCACTTGCATGAATGCCAGCCTCCTGACAATTAAATGAAGGATTAAACAGAATCTCTCATTCTTAAATTGAGTAGATTTAGTGGTAAACGCTGTGCAAACTCTGTCCCACAGACTATTAAGTGAATGGCTTTAACCATTTTTATAGCAGACTATAACCTAATGGAAGTCTTATCCACTCTTCAAAAAGTGTAATATTCACCATGATCACTAATCAGATGTGCCATTATTTATAACTTTAGGTGGTTTCTCAAAATCTGTCAGTGTTATTTTCATTCTCTCTTCAGCGCTTTACATTTTTACGGTTGTAGCTCCCTGTCATATGAAGGAAGGCAATGACTGAGTGATTGACAGCTGATATTAACCAATCCATGCGCGCTCAGTTCTAGAGCAGTGGGCCAGTCAGAAGAGCTTAAACATGGGGCAGGCATTGCGAGTGTTTTAAATAATTCCTGAGCGCAGTGTTTGGCGTTTCAGGTGCAAAGATGTGTTCTGTGACAATGTGTCCTAAATCAGAGCATGCGGTGAACCTTTTGCACAACAACAAATTTATGCAGTCGCAAAAATGCTGCCAAATACATTGAGGTTGCATAGATAAAATTTCAGGTGCATATGCAACTAAAACGGTCCTGTACCTACAGGCAAAACTAAAGCTAAACAAAACCAGACCATTCCCATCAGTGAAGTGGTCTTACATTTTCGTTCTCCTCCTCTCTAATATTATTTATAGATTTCAACGGTTACACTGCAACAATTGTTAGATTAATTCAAATTTTACACAATGTTTAAAAGCAATAAATCATTCAGTTTGAAAGTAAACCAATTTGTTTGCACAGTCAAAAGGCATGACTCAAACTACTCAGTATATTTGCAAGAACTTCAAAATTTTCATTTAAACACATCAGTGCAAAGTTTATGTTCTCTAATTTATTTATTCATTTACTTTTGCATTTATTTCATAAGTTGTGATAACTTCTGCAAGATCGGACTATTAGATCTGGACTATGCAAATGTTGCTTGACTAAATCCTGCATAGGAACACACCAGTCAAATCTCACAGCAGGACGATTTTTGGCTTAAACAATCCAAACACAAGACGGAGAACTCTCCGTGTAAAGCAGGGGTGATCAAACTTTTTTGGTATGAAGGGTCAAAAACCAAATGTCAATGAGTGCAGTGGGCTGAGGGTGAATATACCAAACTGTATTACAGTAAATAAAGCTGCCACAGGTCATTTCGTAATTTATTTTATAACATGTCAAAATAAATAGAAAACATTACTTTAAATCAAATTAACTAATGCAGTGAAACATTTTAAATGATACCTTATGGCAATAAAAACAATCACATTGTTAACAGTGGATTTCAATGCTGAATACACAAGTCAAGCAGAATCTGCCTTTGCCTTGATTTGCTCACCAAAGTCTCGGCAGTGTCAAGTGACAGTATGTTAATTTAAACAAAATCTGATTCATTTACAGCATTTAATGGAAACATTTAACTTCAGCTAGCTTTTAACAATAAAACAAACAAAGGGTTACGTTAACTTTTATTAATCTTCCCATTATTCTCCCTCTCCTCTCAGAGAGGGAAAACAAAGCTTACCATGGGCCAACTTTAGTCTGCAGGCCCTAGTTTAGGCATCTCTGATCTAGGGTGACTATGCTTAAAATTACCTTGGTAATAATACACATTAAATATTTGATTATGTCTACTGCCATGTATACTCATCACGCCAATATTTAGTAATTCAATATATCATGATAATGAACATGAACAATATTGATCATTTGGAAACTTGACTTTTTTCTTTTTTTATTATTACTTGTGCTTTAAAAATATTCAGATTGCATATTCAGCGATGTATACACAAATGCTTGGGGACTTAACTGTTTAACCAAATAGTTCAAACATGAATACTTTATTGCTATTCTTGCCAACTGCATGCTGAAATATTTATCAAAATTTACACTACCGATCAAAAGTTTGGGGTCAGTTGATTTTTTTAAATATTAATTTTATTTAATGATTTAAATAAAATTAATCTGCTCATCAAGGCGCCATTTATTAAATGTAAAAAACAAAAACTGTTAAATTGTTAAATATTTATTAACTAAATATTTATTTATTACTTATTGTATGTAGTTTGAAATAAAATTATTACTAAAGTCAATACTGCTTTTATTGCTATAACCATTAATAATATTCCTAATAATAATAATAATAATAATAATAATAATAATAATAATAATAAATATTAGTGATTTCTGAAGGAGCATGTACTCTAAAGTCTGGAGTAATGTCAACAATTACTCAATATTAGGGTGGCAGAGTGGGTAGCTCTGTCACCTCACAGTAAAAAGGTTGCTGGTCTGAGTCTCGGCTGGGTGAGGTGGAATTTCTGATGGCATAGGCTTTCTCTGGATGCTCCAGTTTCCCCCACAGTCCAAATAAATGCGCTACAAGTGAATTGGGTAATCTAATCTATCCGTAATGTATGTGTGTGTGTCCTGGTGCTGCACTTTAAGGGCCCACCTTGAAAATTTAGATGTTATGAAATACCAACATGGTGTGGCTAAATATCAACTCCGATATAAATGGCCCTGGGAGTAAGCAAAATCGAGTAACTGATGTTTACTTAGAAGATTATTGTAAAGTCCCACCTATTGTATTTTATAAAAAAAAAATAAAAAATAAACATCTATATACAATAAATCGATCTTCTACATGTTAAAGTATTCTTCTTTTTTGCAGTTTTTGGTTAACATCATGATAACACCGTATACCATGATAAAAACTTCAGCAATAATCTCACAACAAGAAAATCTGATACCGTCATAAGCCTAAAATCAGACTGATAGGTTAACCAAAAGTAGCTCTAATACAACTGACAAATGTAAACAAAAGGCACTGATGTGGTTGGTTTGTGAGTATTATATGTAGTAACACAGAACCTCAGCATGACATTTAGCACCATTTCAGTGGCAAAGGACAGTAAGAAACATTCATTTTAACCCATCAACTACATGACAGCACCGTAAATGTAAATTAAAAAACTTACAGGCAGATTTAGCTTAACGGCGTCGACAGGAGCATGAAAAGGCCAAGCGAACTGGTGCTTCCAAAGACTCTTCAGCACCACCTTCAGCAGGTACTGCAGCTGGTTGGTCTGGCGCTTGGGCCGGGTGGGGTTGGAGGTTTCTGGGGGATTCGGGTTGAAGGAAGAAGGGGCCTGGGACGAGGGCTGCCCCTGACTGCTGCTGCTCCCCGACATCTGAACTGCGTCCAGGCCGTCCCCCATACTGGCGGGGTGGAGCGCGGGCAGAGGGATGGGAGGGGGTGGCGCAGGACACCACTCGTTCAGTCTCGAGCCGGGCGCGGGCTCCACAGAGAGAGCACCGCTAATTCCATTGCACTCCTCGCTGGGCTCTCTGTGAAGCAAGCAAATCACAGTCATTAGCCCTTTCATTTATGTCTAAGCCATCTGCATCAGATCCATCATTGTAATCATCACCATCATCTCAATTATACTTAACTGCCGGCACATCCTCTCTGCCCCCCTCAAAACAGCATTTTTCAAAAGGTTAGTGTTTGCTTAAGTAATTACACATGGATTGTCTAATTATCCCCTGATGCGGTTTGAATCATTGACATCTTCAACAGGACTCGTTCTGGATTTTAAAACAGGACCCGGCTGCTGTCATTACACTGTACTCTGTCCAAGTCGGTGCCGTCTAGACAGCTGTGGCACAAATATTGGAGTATGTCTGATAAAAATGACTGCAATTTGCAGGAATAGCAAATCAGTCAGCTTTTTCACTGAATTGGCCAGAGAGTCTTTATAATGTAAATCAAGACATTAATAATTTCAGCCTTTAAGACCAAGTCATAAATTTGTATAATAAATTTTCAGCCTTTTCAACGGCAACTGAAGATGACTATAATTCATGACAGCCAGAGAAAATAATTAAAAATGTTGTAATAGTAGTATCATTTCATATTTAATTAGTGAAAAAGAAAAGGGCACTTGGTTCTGAATACAAGATTATAAGATTCGAATGCAGGACTGTAAGAACTATCAATAATTATAATCATTATTAATAATTAATAATTGAAGCAGACAAAATGATTGGAAGATGCTTGTTTTCATTGCGTAGTGTCAGCAGTAGTGACTTCTGCGTCAAGTGCATGGGTATGGTCCAGCAGAACCTTCGCACAGTCGCATAGTCCTTGCCGTGGCTGACACTGACCCGCACCTCTCATAAAAATTTAACTACACGCCTAGGGCTGCACGATTCTGGCTAAAATGTGAATCACTTTTTTGTTTTGCTTAAAATCGAGATCACTATTCTCTCACGATTCTTTAGATTTAAAACAAAGGTTTATATGATTAGGCTATTATTAATGTTAATTCTCAAACATATCATAACCATGGAATATTAAGGTTCTATCTGGGTTCTGAATGATTTTGAGATATTGAGCTTCAAAGTTTTTGCAATCCATAAAGCAAACAGTATGTGTGCAACATTTTTTTTAGGTCTTAAAATGTAAACAATAAGTTGTCATTTAATAAGAATATGTCAATAACTAAATTGACAAAAATGTCAGACAGAACCTTATAATTCTAAAGTAATGATATGGTAAAGCAACACTGATGATAATAGGTCTATGTATAGGTCTACTGTTGCTTAAAATGCTAAATTTTGTAATCATTATGGTGGACTTGAAGAGACTATGTCCTGTTTTGTTAATTCACAGTAAAATGATGACATCAGAATACAACTATTCATAATTATAAAACTGAATTATAATGTTTAAGACTTGTGCTTGTCATTTGTCAATGTCAGCATTATTAGACCATTTGATTTCACTGGTAAAATCAGACATTCTTGCATTATATAAGCTAGAGTAGCTATACTAACACTGTAAAACATTTATTTTCATGCACAACACTGTCTTAGCTATTAAAGAAAAAAAAAACATTTCAAATGCTTGTCGTAATCATAACTGTAAAATGCGTTATGATCATTTAAATGACGTGCACAGAGATTTCACTTTCACTTCCCAGTGCGGCTCATGGCTGCTGTCATTGTGATAAAACACACACACACGCAAATCATTCTTTCAGCGTGGCTCTCAAACGATCGCTCTGTGGAACAAACTGAACTTATTTACAACTTTATAACTTGTTATTCACAGCATATGCAGGTTTTGTTCACTAAAGTAGCCATAATTGGCGTGCTACGTGCAAGCCTTCTCTGTAGCTCGTGGTCAGCTCACGTGTGATTTTGCGGCCACAAATAAATCATTACATGAGACTGAAATGACATTTCTGGGTGAATAATACCTTATAAATACAGTATGTGACACTTTTAACGCCATTTAAAGGTGTTCATGTTCGTCTGCGGCCACCTTTAAGCTTCACTCCTGACCTTGAAAATATATTTGCCTGAATCGTAGAAAAGCTGAATTAAGATCGTGTGTAGGGTCGAATCGAGATCGTGATCTTTTTTTGGTTAATCTTGCAGCCCTATACATGCCGCAACAAAATGCGGTTAACGGATAGAATTCTACTCAGAATCGGTGCGTTTTGAATACTTTTTCAATGCCCTTTCTGACAAAATGTCCCATAATATTCATGCTAGGTCAGTAAGTGGAGAGTAGGAAATGTTTTGTGACAATCCAAACACATGAAAATGTACACCATGAAAAACTGTTCTGTTTTGACTACCCTCGGAAGTGGTCAAAGGTGGACAAGATTAAATGTTTCAGAACCTGTTTAGACCTATATTTAGAGTCCACTTGTGATTTGATTGACAAAACGAATCTAAAAGTCAGCCCTAGACAAGTGCCAAAGAGAAGCCTTTTATTTGATCAGAAACTCAAGTTAAGCAGGCGTGGGTGATGAGACAAATATCATAACACAGAAATATTTCAAGAATAGTTCACAATTCTAGCTCGATTCTTTGTGAGGTTGGTTTAACTATACTGCAATTTGTCTGTGCAGTAGGCCAAACTAATTATCTAATTAAAACATTTTTTTTAGAGAAACAAAATAATACTTATAAATAAATGACAAAAATTCAATGACAAAAATTAAGAATTACATTAAAAAAAAGCACACAAATAAAACAAACGGTGACTTATTTTTCAAGTAGAGCAGGTGTATTTAGCAGTAGCATTTAAGAAACTTACACAACTACAATAAAATATTGATTTTGTTGGTTTACTGATGTTACAATAGACAAAATTAAAAATACATAATTTAATCAAGGAGATTCTGTCTAATGTTAAACATCATTTATTTTGAGTAATGTCCCAACTGACTCTCAGAGTATGTTCCTACTATCAACAGTGAGCAACTCTTTGGTCATCTTCATTCTTTAATACATCTAATACAAATTTGGGACATCAGAGTGAGCTAACACAATTATTAGTCTATCAGTCTACTTAAGTAGTTCATTTTAAAAACTGCACTCATTGTCACACATCGTTTTTTCTCTTAGCCATTAAATTTCACTTTACACACATTACCCAAATGTGTCTATGTGAATCTTGTGAGGTTTTGATAGAAGTAGCACAATCTGTTGTGAAAGATAACAGTCCTGTAATGTGACTGTGTAGTGTGCACACACAGAGCACAAAACCAAGAACAAAAGTCCATGTGCAGCATGCAGATGAAAATGTTTAACCAGCAGGCTTTAAGGTACATGTAACTTACATGCTTATGTCATTTTGAATATGTGCCTGTGCCTTTTTCTCGCCCGATGTTAATGTATATCGCATTGTACAGTACATTGAGGCACAAGAATGGCACCTAAGACAGCTTAGCACGATACTACCTTATTTCTTCAAAAGCAGATCATGCTGACATTTTAGTTGAGTGTTTGTGATAAACAACCGTACAAGTCCAAAAAATAATAATTTATGAGAACCATGTGACATTAATTGTGTGTGAACTTTGCATGCATGCAGTAAAAACATTTATGTCCACTAAAAAGAATAGAGATGCCGCTTGTTGTCATGTCTGCTTCGAACATAAAAAGGCAAATCCTCTGCAAAAAAAGAAAGTAGACATGAACATATGAAGGGACAGAGTAAGCAAGGTTTTGAGATATGCTGGAAAACCATATTTGAATAAAAAAGGACAAAAACCAGGGAAAAATCCAGCAAAAGAGAATGGAAGAACCGTATATGTGAGCTCTCGCTCTCTCTCTCTCTCTGAACGCGCTAAGTAGAGCTAAACACCACAAAAACAGTTAACCTATCAAAATGAACCACAAATTATACATGATAAAGCTGTATCAATGCATATTTCCCGCCAGTCCAGTGTAAACCACAGCAAGCATGAGTCTATTTGTTTCTATATTTATTTATAATCGCAGAATGGCAGAGAGCGAGAACAGTTTTTAAGTAATAAATACACAGGTGTGCTGCGCCAGCTTTTCTAAATAAACAACAATATTTTGCTATGTCTGTTGATGTTTACTTGTTTAACATTTTGTGTTTTGTTAATAATTGTTATTGCCTGTACTGTAAGGTCTATGTATTGTACATCGTTCATACTGTATTTTCTGTTTTTACAAATGATAATAATAATATTAATAAAGCTGAAAGAAATGCTCAATATTAGCCTAAAGTTCTCTTTTACTATATTAAAATAAAAATAAATAGCTTCCAGTTCTGGCGACTAAGGGAATAGCAGCGTAGTCTCCTCGGACAACTCTATAAATAATTACACTTAATTTTGATAAATACCCAAAACTGTTATTAAAATAATCTATAATAGTGGGACAACAATGAAAACGAGAAAAAAAAGAGCAGGAAACTCAACATGGAAATCCTGGAAATTTAAGAAGGCACCGCTGAAACACAGCAAAACAATGCTAATCAGCAACAGTACAGTAATCCAGACAACACACAGATCAATCTGGAACAAATCCTAGAGGAAATTTAAAACTTATGCAAAAACAACCACCAATATGACGAAAGAGACAAAATTGAAAATTGAAATTGAAACTCGAACGCAAAATGTGCAAGAAACAATGTAGTAAATCATTAAAATACAATCACAATAGTAAAGCAAACAGATTGATCAAAAAGGCAGATAAAAAAGAGATAATATAAGGATATACAACGTGCCTGAAGATGCAGAGAGAAACTCCATGGTTGATTTCAACTGCTGTGTGACACCTTGGATTTTCCTCCAGAAACGGAACTGTAAGTAGAAAGAGCCTATGGGGCGCTCGTGCTGAAACCCGGAACAAATGCAAAACCTAAATTGATCAGTGTGAAATTTCTCAGGTATAGAACGAAAGAAGAAGTCATCCGGAAGGCATGTGTGAAAAAGGAAATCTTCCTGCGATAACAAAAAAAATTTACATCGATCATGATTATCCTCCCGCTGTTCTTTATAAAAAGGATTTCTAGA